CACTCGTCTGAAGGCGGAAGGTCGACGGCGGCTGCGATTAGCCGCCGGTGAGCGCAAACTGCGCCGCTCGCCACAAACGTGGCGCCGAGAGCCGCCGCCGGCTGCGCAGCGACCGCCACCGCGCGGCTCGTGGCGATGGGAACGCCAGCGCCGCCCTGCGCCGCCTCCCCCCAACGCCCGATACGCGCTCAGAGCCGGGGGAGCGACGGCGGCAGAGGTGCGGCTGCCCGCGAACTCAGACGGCGCCAAGCGCCGTAGAGACGGCGCCGCGAGCCGCAGCCGGGTGTCTCGCGACCGCCGCCGCGAGGCCCGTGGCGATGGCAGCGCCAGCGCCGCCCTGCGCCGCCTCCCTCAACGCCCGGTACTCGGTCAGAGCCGGGGGAGCGACGGCGGCAGATGCACGCCCGATGGCGACCTCAAACGGCGCCGAGCGCCGCAGAGACGGCGCCGCGAGTCGCAGCCGGGTGTCTCGCGACCGCCGCCGCGCGGCTCGTGGCGATGGCGGCGCCAGCGCCGCCCTGCGCCGCCTCCCCCCAACGCCCGATACGCGCTCAGAGCCGGGGGAGCGACGGCGGCAGAGGTGCGGCTGCCCGCGAACTCAGACGGCGCCAAGCGCCGTAGAGACGGCGCCGCGAGCCGCAGCCGGGTGTCTCGCGACCGCCGCCGCGAGGCCCGTGGCGATGGCAGCGCCAGCGCCGCCCTGCGCCGCCTCCCTCAACGCCCGGTACTCGGTCAGAGCCGGGGGAGCGACGGCGGCAGATGCACGCCCGATGGCGACCTCAAACGGCGCCGAGCGCCGCAGAGACGGCGCCGCGAGCCGCAGCCGGGTGTCTCGCGACCGCCGCCGCGCGACCCGTGGCGATGGCGGCGCCAGCGCCGCCCTGCGCCGCCTCCCCCAACGCCCGGTACTCGGTCAGAGCCGGGGGAGCGACGGCGGCAGATGCACGCCCGATGGCGACCTCAAACGGCGCCGAGCGCCGCAGAGACGGCGCCGCGAGCCGCAGCCGGGTGTCTCGCGACCGCCGCCGCGAGGCCCGCGGCGATGGCGGCGCCAGCGCCGCCCTGCGCCGCCTCCCTCAACGCCCGGTACTCGGTCAGAGCCGGGGGAGCGACGGCGGCAGAGGTGCGGCTTCCCGCGACGTCAAACGGCGCCGAGCGCCGCAGAGACGGCGCCGAGAGCCGCAGCCGGGTGCGCTGCGACCGCCGCCGCGAGGCCCGTGGCGATGGCAGCGCCAGCGCCGCCCAGCGCCGCCTCCCCCAACGCCCGAGACTCGGTCAGAGCCGGGGGAGCGACGGCGGCAGATGCACGCCCGATGGCGACCTCAAACGGCGCCGAGCGCCGCAGAGACGGCGCCGCGAGCCGCAGCCGGGTGTCTCGCGACCGCCGCCGCGCGACCCGTGGCGATGGCGGCGCCAGCGCCGCCCTGCGCCGCCTCCCCCAACGCCCGGTACTCGGTCAGAGCCGGGGGAGCGACGGCGGCAGATGCACGCCCGATGGCGACCTCAAACGGCGCCGAGCGCCGCAGAGACGGCGCCGCGAGCCGCAGCCGGGTGTCTCGCGACCGCCGCCGCGAGGCCCGCGGCGATGGCGGCGCCAGCGCCGCCCTGCGCCGCCTCCCTCAACGCCCGGTACTCGGTCAGAGCCGGGGGAGCGACGGCGGCAGAGGTGCGGCTTCCCGCGACGTCAAACGGCGCCGAGCGCCGCAGAGACGGCGCCGCGAGCCGCAGCCGGGTGTCTCGCGACCGCCGCCGCGCGACCCGTGGCGATGGCGGCGCCAGCGCCGCCCTGCGCCGCCTCCCCCAACGCCCGGTACTCGGTCAGAGCCGGGGGAGCGACGGCGGCAGATGCACGCCCGATGGCGACCTCAAACGGCGCCGAGCGCCGCATAGACAGCGCCGCGAGCCGCAGCCGGGTGTCTCGCGGCCGCCGCCGCGCGACTCGTGGCGATGGCAGCGCCAGCGCCGCCCTGCGCCGCCTCCCTCAAACGCCCGGTACTCGGTCAGAGCCGGGGGAGCAATCGTGGCCGACATATCACGTGTCGCCTGCCGGCGACGTCAAACGGCGCCCAACGCCGTAGAGACGGCGCCGCGAGCCGCCGCCGG